GTGAGACCCAGAGCTAGACTAGAGAAGAGATTTGGGAAATAAAATAGTCACTCGTGACTGACCTGGCATAAGACAATTAGACATTGTTGCTGCTAAGGAACATAGTGGCCCTGCCATCTCTTACAGCCAAAGCATGAAAGCTCGCAATTTGCTATTAGGACTGACTGAAATGTCTCTAATGTGTTGGGTGTGTTGAGACAGGTCTGGGTGCATAATAGGCTTTAGAGTGATAATTTAAAAAATGCACATACATAAACACAAACAGTGACAGCCTGCTAGATTTCTTCCTCATAGGCAGCCCTGCTTTCTGTAAACCAGCAGTGAACACGGTTCATAGTATTCCCTGTGGATCTCTGATATTCCTTTGTTTATGTGTTCTGCATTAGAGAGGCCTCACGAATGGAGCAGGAAACAGTCAAGAGTAGGTTTAACCCAAATTTCATGAAGGAACACGGTGACCAGAGATTGGTGGTGGTAGAATTGATTACTGTAAATCACATTGCATATGTTGAAAATATTTCATATTAAAATGTTACAAATTTTATAAAAGTGAAACTTGTGCAGCGATGATACATTGAATGGAATCAGAGTATCACTGACCTTTAACCTGGGGAAACTGTTCCTATCCTAAAATAACACAATGACCTTTCTTCCTGCCTCAAGCAGGAGGAACGACCTCTCCATGTCTTTGTGGAGGTTCACATTCCTAATCCCTGCGTGCCTCCTGTCTGAATTTCCAAGCTGCTTCACTTGCATTTGTAGCAGCACAATGATCTGGACTGTGTTACTCTGCACTGTCAGGGAGGATGGATTAATTTGGAGCATTGGCGGCCTATTCTGGCTCTACTAGTGTCTATGTGAAGGAGATTTCTCCCTCAGTAACTAACCTTGACTGCAGAACAGTGGGAAATCTTGTTTCAAAATGGGCTTTGTGTTACTATTATTATTTTATTATTAGAAGGGAAACACTGCCATAAAGCAGTGTTTGTAGATAAGAGATGTGTTCATTATACTGCTGTGGTAGAGTGCACATAGAGCAGCAGTCTCCTAAATACAGACATTAGGCCCCCACTCCTCTTTCTTTGTCTTAATCACTCACTGATTGAGCAGAAGACAGCAAGATACTCCTCCAATCTACTCCACAACCCTGTGTGAGTGATTAGGAATGCAAATGGGCAACTAGTGTGAAAATGCATAGAAAAGCACTACACAAGTATAAAACCATTTACCAAGACCATTTACACCATGAAACCCTGGAAACTGAACCTCAGCTCTTGGATAAACACTGAAATAAAATGTAACGCATCTTAAAATTGCCAAGTTGACTGAGTACGGCTGAAGAGCATCTTCAATGTTGCTGATGCATTCACGACGTCGTGCGTTTTGGAATTCCACAGCAGCAGTTTTCCAGTAAGATGCTGAAATGTCCCTCATTATCTGAGAGAATGGCTCAAATTTAGTAGGGAAGTCATGGCTTGATTTTTAATAAGCAGCAGCAGCTCATGGAAATGCCTCTGTAGCAAGAATGGCAGGCTATAACAGTTCAGTGATCTAGACAGCTTGTCATTCCAAGTTTGGGCTCATATTTTATTGCAGTCAAGGAGAATACTTGGCATAGGCCTCCTTTGTTGACTGTATGCAAAGAAAACAGAAATGTGATTATTTCTGAATGCATCTAAACAAGTTAATGAATGAAATGCATGAAGTGAACCTGAATTTGCCACCCAAGGTCAAATCTTCTGCAGCAATTTAATAAGGTTTGCAAAACCCGTATGAGAAATATTATACATTTTGTTACACCTCTAAAATTGCACCCTTGTTGGTGGTAGCTGTGGTAGCAGAGGCGACTTGTTGTACACAAGCTGTATTTCATGGTATAATTGCATTCATACAACTGGGTGTTTTGTTTGCTGATACATTCCCCCTGAGCCTCTGAGCGGTTGTGTTTCAGAGCAGCAGAGTCAGCTGTTCCTTTAGCCCACTCTCGGTGAGATTGATGGTAAAGCTGAAAATGATTGGATGTGGTGTTGCAGTCTATGTCTGCATGTGTTTGTGTGTCTGTGGAGCAGTGTTCCTGTGTGTGAAAGGCACATAGGAGTCGATAACTTTATAACACAGCACCAACTTGACTTATTTTGACATGGACAATGTAGTATTTGTGTAAATGTGCAAAAATAATTTAAATGTCTCAATGTCTGGGACGTACAGTATGGATCTAATATCTGTTAACCACTGGCTAGCCTGTCACTGACTTTTTTTTATCCCAGAGATCCCAGTCTTCTTCAGATTCACATACTGTATTCACATTCAATAGGAATAAAAATGTAAAACTGTCATGTAAATGCACTTCTGACTCACTGACAATTCAGTTATGCTTTTGGAAATTTGTTTTGAACGTCTCATGCTGAAATGCGTTTTTACCAGTGGTGGAAAAAATACTCAGATATACTCAGATGAGTAAAAGTAGTGATACCACAGTATAAAAATACTCTGTTACAAGTAAAGGTCTTGCATTCATAATGTTACTTAAGTAAAAGTACAAAAATATTGGCATCAAACCATACTTTAAAAAGTAAAAGTACTCATTATGGCACATTTAACATTAATGTATATCATGCTATTGGGATTAAAATTACTGTTGCATTGTTGTGTTCATCACATTTTATGTTGCAGCCGGTAAAAGGAGAGGAAGTTTTAAATAGTTGAGATACTTATAATTTGATGTACTGCTCAGTATCTTTTGACTTTTCCACCAAAGACCAGTAAAGTCTTATGATTATACTGTTGTTCTTGTATTAATCTGTCTGTGAAAAGGAGACCATTCCAGTCCAGGATCCTATGGCTGCTGACAAATTCTTTGTGAAGTTACCGTGTAAATTCTTTGAAAGGAAAGGTCAGTTCCAACAGATTGCAGAAACTTTCATGTAAGAAAAAAGGATGAAGTCATGTAGTAAGTAGGAATAAACATGGGCCACCGTGAATTTGTCCACTCCCAGAGGACTCTCTGAATTACAACCTGCCACACTTAATTTTTTACTCCAGTGCATTTCTCAGCACAAATCCAAAAATCACATTTTTGCATATTTGACCCCCAGGGACTGGCTGTTTGTCAATTCATGCGAAAAGTACAATCCTGAATTATTTCATGTTCATGGATTTTTTTTTTCTTTTTTGCAATTGCTGTAGGATCAAGATTTGTCACACACCAGGTCATGGCCGCGCCCTGCTGTCTGAAGAAAAGTGGGTTTTTGTGCTGATTTAATTTCCAGAGGGAACCACCCTAGTGGTAGGAAACATCATTTGCTAATTAACAAGGATGTCTCCTGGCGTTTTCAGGAAAATGACAGTTTTCCCAGAGGCTTGTAAAAAAAAAAAACTGATGTTCTGATAGAAAGCACAGCTGTAAACAGAAAATGGATTGAATTCTCCACCAAGTGCAAAAGTAGAGGGAAAAGCAAAGCGATCTAAACTTGCCCTCAGGGGCAACTACTGTATTGTTCACCAAACTGCCTGCCTTCTTCACTTCTGGTGCTTTTTACTTTACAAGTGGTACCCGACTGTGTGAAATCTATCTTTTACTGTACAGCAGCAAAACAATAATAGGCTGTGAACTTCCTTTCTAACATGCCATCTGTTTCATTTCCATTTTTCTCCAAAAATTGAAATATCAAACACGAAAACACAGCACAACACTTGTTCCTTATAGAAAAATGTCCTTAAATTATTTTTCATTTTTTGTTTATTTCATTACTGTCCTATTGTAGTTCTGTTGTCTTTTTATTTAATATAGATCATCACAGGAGACGAACCTCAGACCCCGTCGAGTTAAACTACACAAATCATTAGCGCTTGGCTCAGTCAGTTCAGCTCCTTCAGGCTTTAACAGATAAGCAGGTATTGAACTTGTCACAGGAGAGTGGCAGCTTCTTTATAAAATGCCTCTGTGTCATGTGTAGTAAGGCTACAGAGAGGAAACCAGTAACCAGTGTGTATAGGTCCCACTTCTTAGACTGAATGGTTGTGAGTTTGTTGTCGGCTGTTGTTATAGTGTTGATGCACAACATGAGCTGTTGTATGGAAAGATGTAAGGTTTGTTTTGCCCTCTTTACTACTCCAGAGCTTTGCACTAAGTCATTTCAGCTGAAAGCAATTCGGTTTTAAACACTATGAAGTGTAGATGGACATATGAAAGTCAAATAAGCAGCGTTTTAAGATTGACAGTGCACAGAGAAGACGTTATTCAAAAATATGTATCGGCAAAAAGCATTAGATTTGATACAGTTTGTTCATGACCAGCAATTTGAACATTTCTCAATCAGTTTTGTTCTGTATATTTGGTTTCACAGGAAATAAAACCACCTTGTCCAAAATGGGTCAAGTTATATAATCGTATCTATCAAGAACAAATAAGGAAATGGCTCTAAAGAAGTTTGGAAAAGACACAGTTATTAAAAATAGTTTTAATACAGACACTATTATGACCTTTCACTTTTTACAGCTAGAGCACACCAAAACAGAAAGTCCCATAAACTGTAGTATATCATATAGAAGAGGTCCTTTGACTGCATCAAGAGCTCTTCCACGTTATGATTCCATCTGGTGTGGTGGCTTGGTGTTGGAGTGGCACATGGTAAAACCAGTTAGAAATATAATTTTAAAAGGAAGAAGTACAGCTAAAGATTTCTATTAGGCACCAAAACACCACCAAAAACTTGCATATGTAGAACTTAGTTTCTTTGTTTCTGTAAGAATATGTATCTTTAATTTTTTTGCTGCTGCCACACTGGGTCCTACCATCAGCCAAATGTTTGGGTTTTTTTGTTGTTTTTTTTGTTATAAACTGCCAATGACCATATTCATTGTACAAGGTAGGCTACACTCAGATGGTATCTAAAAAGATATTGTTGGTGTGCATCTTGCAGAACCCTTGTATCACTGGACTTTTCCAAGCTGCACTAATTTATTTTTTTGATTATTATTATTATTATTATTTTTTTTTAAATACCACAATGAAATCAAATCACCAGTTCAACTGTAATATCATGTAATTCAATACAACAAAAATGGCATTTTACAGATTCAAGGTTTTTGCAGGACACTGGCAACATACAGATTATAATTTGCAGAACAAACAATGCATGGGGAAACTTTTAAATGCTCAGTAATTTTCCAGGATAACAGAGGATGTGAAATGTCAAACTGAGGTTGTACATATGTAACAGGGGATCTTTAAACCAAAGTAGTACACACGTATTGTAACAACATCCCTTAGAGCAGCTGTCTAATTAGATGCACATTCTGATAATGAGCCAACAGTGATAGAAGAATTTATTGTGAGTTATATTAGACCTGTGATCGTAGGAGCTTTCCTTTAAACTTACCTAATACTATAGAACACTGCTGTTGTGTTCTACTGGGCTTTGCAATACTGACACACAGTGTACACATGGGTTTCACTGGCAGTATTACAGTAGAGTTTCATGTGTAAATATTGCATACTGTAGCTTAATAACAGTGGTTTCAGCAACACAGTTTGCATTCACAAAACATTTAGTGGTGATGACTATATGATATTGTTGGTGTAAATAAAAATTTTCATTTGAATAATGTGGATCAAACATTACATTTTGGTGCATTGGATGTATGTTTCAGAAAATAGTACCTCCAATTTGTTTGGAGTCTGTGAGCTGCCAATATACAATGGTCTACATCATTTCTGCGCTTGATTCTTTTTGACTTGAGAAATACACATTTACACAAGCAGCTCCCACTTCCAGAGTGCAGCCCTGTCCTCAACCACATTAGTAAGTCTTGCAGGGCTTTTGTATTGGCTGGGGAATCAATGCAACAAATGATCAACTGCACCCGAAACCCTGTGTGCTGTGAATATCTGTGTCCCCATGTCCTGTTTTTAGTAACTGTTAATACATTAGCTGGGCAAAAAACATATTGACCGAACGTTTCCTGCAGTATAGAGGTTCCTGGCCGACGGCAGCATGAACTGCAGAATAGTTCAGTGTAGTTCAAAAACAGCTGTAGTTAACCAAACAATGTCAAGCTGTATTTAGTGGACCCATTTATTTGTTCAGCAACAGACAAAGAACAACAGCATTTACTTAGCTTTGTTTCACATCTTTACATTGAACCTGACAAAAGTTCATTAACTGTTTACTTCCAACAGTGGAGGCATCAACTGCATTTACCACTTGCATTTAGGTTGGTCAGACCAGATACATTCTTTAAATGTGAGATTTGGGATTAAAATCACTTGCATGGCATACCTCGACTGCAAACTGCGAGCCACCATCCTCACATACAAAGCGACTTTTGTTCAGGGCATAATGGATTACTAAGAATAAGACCAATCACCATCCTAATACTGGGGCTTCATCTACAGTATATTCTAGGATAATCACACACATGCTGGTACTGATGAGAGGCACTATTACACCAATACAACACTGGTTTAACACTCTGCAGCTACTTCTCCTAGTTACCATAGAAAGATATGGATCTGTTGGCAGTGACTTGGTTTGAATGCATGTGTGAGTTTATCTAACACCTTAAAAAGGACAAAACATTCACAAAATGTAAACGGAATAGATTTAAAGTCATTCAGGTCAACGGTAACACTTTCACAGACAGAACTGTCTAAAGTTTATAAATACTGGCGGATCAACTTAGCAAGTAAATCTCTCCGAAACGGATGTATATGACATTTTGGAAAAGAACCTGAATAATCTTCTTTTTTTTTCTCTTAAATGATTATAGTTCCTGCTTAAGTCTGTGACAGCCATGACCATCTAAACTGAGCGTTACCACCTCATATGGCTCATGCGCTTTATTTAATAGAAATGTTCTGATCCGATACTGGCATGGCCTGTATCGGTATCGGCACGAATCTGGGCATTTTTCACAGGGTTGGTATTGGCCAGAATAAAGCCAATCCATTTCTGATTGTTATTTAGAACTATAATCCTGTACCTGAGGGGACCAACTCGCATTTTTAAAACGAGTGTCTCACGCATCCAATAAGCTGCAGTATTAATCAGTTTAAAAATGTAATCAGATTTCTCCCAAAACATCCAAGTGTGTGTAACAGTTATTCATGTGATATACTGAGACTAATAGCTAAACAACTAGAATTTAGGATGGTAAAAATTATTCTGGCAGTTTTCCTAAATGAATAATTCCTGGCCACTGCAGTTGATCCGCCGTAGTCTTTTCTACTTGTCACTGCAAAGTGCACGGTATCTATACCCACTTAAACACAGGCTGCTCAGCCTTAATTTAAATATAGTAGAAAAGGAAGATTTTCTCATTTAGACACTGTTGATTTATTAGAAGTTACACCAGTTACGCTGAGTTTCAGGTCCTTTGATATCTTAGTGAATACGGACAACTGTACTACGTACAATATGTCACATCTCTTCACTCATATATATTATTTATTTAGCATTTGTGTTTTGTTGTAGTATTTGAATTATATGAATATCAGTGACAACATATTGATCACTGTGCCCTTCTGAGTCCTCGTAGGTTGTGCCTTAATTGCTGCACATTACAAGCACAGTGCACATACTACAGTCCAAGTTGCTTTCTCACAGCACCACCCACAGTGAGCAGTCACTGTCTTTCGTAAATACAGGCTCCTTTTTAAGCCTGACGCTTAGATAATCCCTCATACTGTCACTTCTGTCTTGCTGTTGGTGACAAAGTATGGTTGTGGAGGCATGTAGCGAGTGGTGTGCAGCTCCTTCTCTACAATGCAGAGTTTCTTTGGGCCATAGCTCGGTCGCAGTCCCAGAGTGTCCTTGCTCTCCCAGGACCTTAGCACCCCTGGGCTGGCAGCAGTGTTGGAAGCAAAGGCTAGCGACTGGGAGCTGCGACTCTTGGGGCTTTTGTACTTGTGTTCATTCTGCTTTGCAGACAGCTGTCTGGGTGGACTGTAAGGATTACTCGGCTCTGGCTCCATATCCACCGCTTCCATGGGAAGGCTGCCCTTGGTTGTCATTTCGATGGCATGCCGCCGGTTGCTGTAGAAGCTGTCATTAGCTTTCTCTGCTAACAAATACACAAATAAACAACACAAGTATTTTGTTGTCATTTTTTCCTGCATTAGTCATTGCATTGAGTCCTGAGTGCACAGGTGCACAGGCAGTTACCATTAGGCTCACAAAACAGAGTCAAGTAGTGTAATTTAACATAATTACCATCATTATAACTTCATAAAAATAAGAATGTACTGTGTACCTTTTGCATTTTACATGCACATACATGAAATGTTTATAACATCAGAAAGAAATATTTACTGTTTAAAGCAAATAACTGCAAAATTTAAAAATTGAGAAAAAGACAATCAGCTACTTTAAACTGATATGAACACGCTGCTTTGTTGGGACCAGAGGCTTGGCCCCACAACTAATTTGTCAAATTTTACCAAAATGTCTAATGTTAGAGCAGGTGTCAGCTTCGGTTAAGGTCAGGCAAGTAACGGTTCTGGCTAAGGTTAGGGTAGGTCTCATGGAAATGAATGTCTATGTACACACCTTGTAAGTGATGACTGCAAGGATGTGTGTGTTTGTGTGTGTGTGTGTGTGTTTGGTCAATTAGCTACAATCACACACCACTGAATGCTTGTTGATATCCCAGTGCCCAAATCTCAGTAAGGCTTAGATGTGTGCCAGTAGACCACTTGTCACTTATCCTGTCTCTTGGCATTTGTCTTGTAATCAACTGCAGTGATTTGCTATAAACAGCCACTGTGATGTGACTTTGTGTCTCTAGTCAGGTGTAGACAGTGTATGAAAACAATATTCATTTCACTAACTGAAGCCTCAGCATGCCAACCGTGAGAAGTAGCTTTTGTTTACTAAACCTTCTGCTACTATTGCTTCATATATAAGAATTAATGATTTTTTTTCTCCTATATAACCTTTAATGTGGTCTGTTCATCAATGGCAGACAATGCCTGATCACACACGATGAGCTGCACATGCTTTATGGCAGTTGTAAACCCCATATCAGCGCAGGTAAATTAACACATACAATATATTAGGACAACAGATGACACATGACTCACCCTGTAGTTGCCTCCTATCACCATGCCCCCAACTCATTTGTGTTGTGATTGCTCCCGATTGCCTCCTGTCCCCAGTCTCGTTAGCTAAGATTTGCTCTATTTTTATTTTCCCTAATGATCAGTTTGTTTGACAGCACTTCAGTGGATTAGCAGTAGAGAAGCTTCAGCTGCTTGCCTGAATCACAAAGAGAGCAAACTGTTTTATGTGATTGGACTGCACCCATGCTGATAGCTGCCGTACCTTCCACGGCCCGATCTGTCAACCACAGCTAATTGATTCAGGTTGAATCTATAAAAAGACCGCTAAAAATCATCAAATACAGATCCACATTTTGATTATTTCTCTTATTAATTGGGATTTTTTTTTTTGTTTGTGCACATTTTAGGAGCATTTGGATAAGAGGCAAAGATGACTTGGTCAAAATAATAGATTTTGGACTAAAGGACTGTTTTAAGTTTAATTCTACAACAGACCTTAGTGCTGAAAGGTAGCAATGACCAAATTCTCTTCCATTAATCAAGTTGTGAATACAGGTAAGAGATTCTAATAAGGGTGATATCACACAGGACCAGTACTATGTGCACAAACAGATGAGAGGTTTATATGGTTAGTGTGATGGAGCACTCACTTCAGTGTTGTCATCACCTGTTGTCATTTTTTTTATATCATCAGACTAAGCATATACTATTACTTTTTGTGCATAAAGGGGTAACTTTGCTAATTTTGCACTGCAGTATTCATTTTATGATGTCAAGACATTTGTACTACTTTGACACTACAAACGTGTTTTTGTTCAAGTCTTTAAAAAAACTAAATCACATAAAAAAATAATTTGATTAGTGATACTACTTTGGTATCAGCTTTTATTTCTTGTTTCAGATGCTGCTTGTCCAGGCACTAACTTCAAACTTTCCTAAATTAGCACTTGAGAAAAACAACAAGTTTGCCTCTATAAATAAACTTTCAGTTTCTCTCTGGCGGCACCGATGGACTGTGGATTAACTGACGAAGATTTGTGTCAGCCAGAGAAATGACGGAGATCCAAAACAACTAGGTTTCTATTTAAAGAAGAAGATATTTCCAACACATGTCTGGTGTATATACAGGATTGCTGCTGTATTTGCAGGAGCTAAGAATTAAAAGACATATTGTCTTAATTCTAACTTAAAAGATAAGGATGGCAGCGAAGCTTACTAATGCCTGTGGATGAAACGGTAGAAAAAATTCAGTAATACGATTTCTTTTGTTGAGACTTTTCATGTTTAACCACATTTAATTTTACTTGAATTACATAAAACATTTCAAGAAACATTTTAGATTAATTTATATGCAATTATAAACCTGTCCACATGATTGCTCGGATTACAGATCCTGTTGTTTATGGTTTGCTCAGATACATTTTGATACTTAAAGTGCCCATGACATGCTTTTCTGTGTTCCCTCATCGAGTGCCCCCATCAGTGGTTGTGGTTGGGATAATGTTAGGATTCAGGTTAGGGGAAACACATCTCGATGGGGAAACAGATTTTGACAGGACACTGGCAGCAGGAGCCGTGCGTGTTCACAAACTGTCCTGTCATTTGCAGGAGGAGGCTCTTGGGTTTTATTGTTCTGAAATAATTGTAGACTATTTAGAGTTATGGTGGGTGCAAAGCTAATCTAGAGGTACCCAAGATTAAACATTAAATAGCTGGAAATAAGCAAAATGAGCAGCCACGAACACTTTCAATAACACAGGAAAACCATTATTAATTATTCCTTCATTTATAGAGGATGTAACGAGCAACCTAATCAGATCAAATTACTAATGGCAACTGTTTTTTTTTTTCATTATTGTAGCTCATCGTAAACAATGTCTTACCCACAGCCTTGAGTGTGGCGTACTTGCTGAGCTCCTTGCCAGACGTCTGTTGCTCATAGGGGCTGGTAATGTGTTCCACAGCTGGGTAAGGCTGGGTAATCAAAGTTGATGTTTGAACCACATTGTTCATCTGGTTGCTCTCTGAAGGAAGGAATACACAAGTTCTTAATACAGAAATTTAGATTATTGTTTGTCCTTTTATTTTTAAATGTTATTGCAGCGACACATTTCTTGAAATTATTGAGGTAATATGTGCAAATGTATATATATTGTACCACATGCTTTAACTACGCTTTTCAAATCTGATAAGAATAAATAACATACATAAATGAGAGTATTTGTTTATTTGGTTTAAACTGGCTTCGTTTCCTCTGAGTGAGTGTTTCATGATGTTGATTTACCAGGATATAAAGCTGCACAATGGATGGATGTGAATATACAACAACTGTTTCTCCAACTTGGTGGTGTCACTTTTCCTTAAGTAGGCTTTTCTGGGGACCCAGCTGGAGAGTCATGACTGCTCTTTGTAAAGCTGTATTAATCCTACATTAGACATCTGGTAAATTAAGGGGTGCACAGCAAATAGACTGGCCCCCTGCCTGCTGGCATGACAGAGCAAACAGATGTTCAGAGTGCCTTCCCCTTGTTTGTGGGAGATTAGTGGAACATACCAAATCATTGGCAGCAGTTTGAAGACTATACGGATATACATATATACTGTATGTGTGTGTGTGTGTGTCTACATGTTTATGCATCAGTTTACTATGTATTGTGTAATTTGTCATGATGCACATGGTTCCTTTTAAATGAGACCAGGCTCAGAGGAGGTGGAAACATTAACCTCCTGTGAATCCAGTGCCAGTAACTTGCATAATGAAGATTAAAAACATGTCCATCAGCCCCTCACTGCATTTTGTTAATGTATGAGGTTTATAAAATTTGAAATCAGGAGGAGATCACCAGTCCTTGGTCTAGAATGTGTCTGATAAAAACAGATCATTAATATACAGAAAATAGGTTAATTAGGCTCTTATTCCCCACTGGTCAGCAAGAAATTTTATTATCACCCTAATTAATTTGGAAAGTCTCAAATTATCAATTCTGTCTTGTGAAATAATGCAGAGGACATCTTCAACTGTCTGTACACCGTAGCACGCCCTGAGAAGTTGAGTAGTGTAAAGAGAAAGATGAGATTTGGAGGTCACTTAAGGTAGTGAAAGATCCATTGTGCCACTTGTATTAAGGATCTCTTCATAACAAGCTCGTGCTATTTCCACTTTTATAGCAAAAAAAACTGTAGTTGTTAAGAAACACAGCACAGCACTTTTATAAACTCAATTAATGGTTTGTCTTCATAAAGCCTCATTAAATCCTTTGGAAGTGCTGAAGAAACTAGTTCATGAAGTTGTACACAGTTACATGCAGTAAAATAGTCGCTGGCCACCTAACAATAGCATTTTTACATCATGTCATGGTTGTAGCTGATGTTTTACTAACAAAAGTAACCATATTCTCCAAACACTAACAATTAAATCGTTACAACAAATCTATCTGTGTTATGCTGTCAGGTTTCTTTCTGAGCCTGTTGACCTGTTTCAGTTTCATACAGTTTATTGTAAGTGGGCCATGCACTTATAGGCTGTCAGGGCATGTGGCCTTTAATATCAAAGTCAAATGACATCTTCTGCTTCTGTAGAAAACAAAGAATTTACACCACTTTACATTTTTAACCATGACAGATTACAGACTATAAATATTGCTTTTGAGGAAGCCATGGATGCATACTGTATGTGCCATGCAGTTCTCTTTGGGAAAAGCTCATTCAGCCATGGAAAACTATTATTATATTCTCATTATCTGAGCCACTCATGAGCTAGTTTGCAAGCTATACCACTAAATGGTCTCATCTGAATATTGTGCTTCTCTGATTCTCCAGTGAAGGTCAAGGGGAGGGCATCCTCTTCAACTCAGAAACAGTTCCAAGTAAACTATTTTAAATAATAATTGATATACACTGAATGCTTTGGCTAAGCAATTGTGCATCCCTCTGTTTTGTGTCCTCTAAAAATATATAAATTCTTATATATTTTATGATGGGAATAGATTTCCTGCCATTATTAATGAGGACATTGACATCTGGTGCAACTTTGCTATTTTGCTATGTTGTTGTTTATGTCCTTCTTTAATGTTTATCTGACTTTGTGCTGTGCCATTTGTGCTTGTACTGTTGTGCTGTCAAAATCACCACTTTTATCTCATCTGCTTGGAAAAAAAAGGAAAAGAAAAGTAGGTCACTTGTGGAGACTTTATAAGGTTAAAGACGACATGGTTGTTGTGGGAAATAAGCAAGTTAACACTCCAGACACAGACACCTCCCTGGAACTCATAAAAGATTTAAGAGAGTATTTTGGGAGCTGTATGCCTCAAAATAAGTGGCACAAGGAGAAGGGCACTCTTATTTACAGGCAGCCTACTTTCAAGTTAGTGATGAAAATATACTGTTTTGTCAGTATTAGATATCTTAACAATATATCCCTGAAACAGTGCTGTACTTAAACGTATGTGATCAAACATTTTTATAGTTCAGGCATATGAAGTAACAAAGTTATAACTCCAGAGGATAAGAATATTTCTCCTTCCCTAAACATAACATAGTGGATGAGCAAAAAGCTGAAATGGTAAATCTGATAAGGAATAATGAAGCTGTTTATTTAGAGAATTTTTACAAGCTGAGAAAAGTAATGGGTTTGTTTATGTAGAATTAACAAGTTCCTAACGTGTCCCATTCAACGTACTAATCTAAACGACTGCAACAGGTTTCCTGACCAGTGGCAGATACATATGTACACCTGTTTAATGTTCTTCACACAAGTCCAACACTTCAGTCAAGGGCCACCAATAGGGGACATTTTGAAAAATTATACAAGTTAGGTTTCTAGGCATTTCATTGACAGTGCAACTGTATGTGTGTTGTCAATATGATGAAATTATAAGCCAACAAACTTTCTCATTTCAGAAGCAATCCAGAATTACTGTTTCACAGTTGTATGCCTCCACCACCTAGTCAAATTCACAGGTATGGGACAGAGGTGAGGTCACTGACCTTGACCTTGACCACCAAAATCTAAAAAGTGGACACTTGTGCCAAATTTGAGGGAATTCCTGTAACGCGTTGCTGACATATTTGCGTTCACAAGAACTAGGTGGACAAGCCTGAAAATGCCTCCAACCGCAGCTATCCCCAGCGCTGAGGCATAAGAAAATGAAGCTAATACAACTCATGTTTTCATCCTAATATTTTAAAGCCTGTATTGTCAGTTTGTAATGATCTCGTTGAAGGTGTCAGGCCTCTCTGTATAGAGTATGGCAGGTAGAAAAAAGAGCCATATAGACTCTACAGTTGGGAGCTATTTCTCATCTGCTAGCAGAGGTAATACAGCTGAAATACGTTTCTATCTGGCAGTGAGGAAACGGACTGTCATGCACCAGTGGAGTGTTGGCAGTGAGTGGCGACTTTGTCATCTATGGCTGACTGCTCAGAGTAAAAAGAGACTACACTTCACAGTTGCCCCATGTACACACATGGCCAGCAGGACTTGAACATGATAGCACTGGCTGTCAAAGAAATCCAGCTCACTAAATCCGCATTACTTATGTCTAAGGACAACGAGAGCTCATAACCCAGTCTACCTTATTTTTGTTATTTCTGACAGGCAGCAGATCCTCATCTCTCTCTCTCTCTCTGGAACAATTCAATCACTGTTTCACACCACTATCCATAATGTACAGTGACTATTATAGCTCAGATATAGTCTCAACTTGTGCTAGAAAGCACAGCTGGGGAAGACAAGTTCAGGACATATCCATGTGGTGAAAAGGAAATCATTTCACCCCTTGTAACCTTGCAAGGATTGCTGTCAAGAAACCAACAATCATCCCTGTGTTGTTGCCAACTCCAATGAATCTACATGCCTGTAAGATACACTGTGCCAGAGTCACTGCATGCAAAGACATCTACACTCATTCAGCACATTGTTTTTAATACAGTCATATGTGAATTAAGTAATATTTTTCTTAAAGAAAAAATAAATGTTTAACATTTTTTCTGAAAGTGATTGTCTGGATTGTTCACAGCAACAGAAATTAGTGTTTTCCATCCTAAAAAAAAATCTCCTGCCTTGTGGCCCCTCTAATGTTGATAGTAGTACATCTGAGAAGCCACAGTAAACTATATGGTGGAAGAGAATACAAGTATAACACACTATAAATTAGCTCTGAGTATTTAATTTGATATTTCTTTTTAGGCATATAAACTATTGTTCTCTCTCTCTGTGTGTGTGTGTGTGTGTGTGTGTGTGTGTGTGTGTGTGTGTGTGTGTGTGTGTGTATATAGATTATTCCGGGTGCTCCGGTTTCCTCCCACAGTCCAAAGATATGCAGGTTGGGTTGATTGGTGACACTAGAATTAGACTTCATCCAGTAAAACATGCCAAGTTTAGCATGCGCATCATCAATTGGGTGGCAGCTGATGATTTGCTGTGGCGACCCCTAACAGGAACAAGAAGATACATACATACATACATACATACACATATATGTATACAGTGGGTACGGAAAGTATTCAGACCCCCTTAAATTTTTCACTCTTTGTTATATTGCAGCCATATGCTAAAATCATTTAAGTTCATTTTTTTCCTCATTAATGTACACACAGCACCCCATATTGACAGAAAAACACAGAATTTTTGACATGTTCGCAGATTTATTAAAAAAGAAAAACTGAAATATCACATGGTCATAAGTATTCAGACCCTTTGCTCAGTATTTAGTAGAAGCACCCTTTTGAGCTAATACAGCCATGAGTCTTTTTGGGAATGATGCAACAAGTTTTTCACACCTGCATTTGGGGATCCTCTGCCATTCCTCCTTGCAGATCCTCTCCAGTTCTGTCAGGTTGGATGGTAAACGTGGGTGGACAGCCATTTTCAGGTCTCTCCAGAGATGCTCAATTGGGTTTAAGTCAGGGCTCTGGCTGGGCCATTCAAGAACAGTCACGGAGTTGTTGTGAAGCCACTCCTTCGTTATTTTAGCTGCGTGCTTAGGGTCATTGTCTTGTTGGAAGGTGAACCTTCAGCCCAGTCTGAGGTCCTGAGCACTCTGGAGAAGGTTTTCGTCCAGGATATCCCTGTACTTGGCCGCATTCATCCTTCCCTCGATTGCAACCAGTCGTCCGGTCCCTGCAGCTGAAAAACACCCCCATAGCATGATGCTGCCACCACCATGCTTCACTGTTGGGACTGTATTGGACAGGTGATGAGCAGTGCCTGGTTTTCTCCACACATACCGCTTAGAATTAAGGCCAAAAAGTTCTATCTTGGTCTCATCAGACCAGAGAATCTTATTTCTCACCATCTTGGAGTCCTTCAGGTGTTTTTTAGCAAACTCCAGGC